AAAATATACTACTTCTCAGATATGCTGTCATCTGCTTATTTTGTAAATGTTTTACTTAAGAGGAAAAAAATCCCGAGCGCGCGTCTGCTTTAGATATCGAACTTATAATATGAAGTTTATTATTTAGGTACCAGATTACACACGTTACATAAAAATATAAAATGTATATATTCCCGATGTGCGTTGTATTTGTGTTAGTTAAGATATGCGGTTAAATCCATTTCAATTTTCAACGTTATTATTCGTATAGGTCCTTTGTTTTCGTATTAGATCCCTGGTTGTTGTAATAGTTGTAATAAATAATGTAGTAGAATATAATTTAATTGTAACGGAAGTTTTGATATTGTTTCTATATATTTTTTTTAGCCAGTTTGTTGTATGTCAAAACACACCGCATTCATTCATGTTTAAAATCTGTACTCCAAGTATTTCTAGTATCTCTTTATTGTCTATATTCTCTCCCTACTAAGTATGTATGGCGAGTTTTGAGTATTTGAGTTGGAATAGAGTAAGTGGCAAAATTGGATTCGTTAGTGTGATCGGAATCGAAAATTTTTGTAAGTAAGAAGCAAACATATTTTGACTTATTTTTGAAAATACGCCATTCTGTTTCAGCAATAATTTGATTTTCTTGAAGTACTGTATACCTTCTCTCTAGTTAAGTTTTTTATTTATGATATTACTATTAGACTAGCTTCTATAGATACGATTTGTTTTTACTAAAGTTTGTAAATTCAAAGTCTATGATTATGTAGTTATACGTAAAAACAAGAAATATAAACTATTACATTTGTTTTTATAATTAGGATTTAAGTTATATGTTTTTTTTATAGTAAAAATTATCAATTTGGGCTGATGAAATATTCATCTATTATAACTTACTTTTAAATACCTATATTCATACAATATACACCATTATGTTTCACCAAATATATTCTGGGTAATTTGCCGTATCTTATAAAGTACCTAATAAAGATATTTCCTCTAGCTAATAGATACTGTCTGGAAAATTATTTCCGGACAAAATTCCAGATATAAGACTAAGCTTTTCTATTTCTAAGTTTGTTCATTTGAAATCCACAATTACGAAGTTGAACTCAATATTTCTAAAACAAATATTATGTAATAATACTAAACAAGTTTAGTTTTATATTTATATTACTTTTATTATTTATTTTTCTTATTTTTATTTGTATACTGTTTTAACTTTTTTCAATTCTAAAAGTTGCTCGTTTATTATTCAAATAATATTTTTAATAATATATTATGATATAATGTTTGAACAAAAATCCATTACATTATTTATTATATTTTAATGTAATATACTTATAATAAATATATCATATAAATATTTTTTAATAAACTATGTCAAATAATAATTTAATATTAATTAGATAGGAATGTTCACCTTTGATTTAATTGTTTATACATAATTTGAAATATTTATATTACAATTATAAACATAATCAATCAATTTAATTTAATTTAATTAAAATTTTTTAAATTTTAAAAGCTACTTTATAAAATATTAAAAACTTGCTATACAATTATAAAAGTATATAAAAAAAAAAAAAATGTATTCATAATTATTATAATATAAAAAAATAATTGAGAATACTTCGATTTCGCAGTATAGTTTATTTTCTAAATTTTCAATAGAATAGATACCTCATAACTCGTTGACAAAATAATGTATACCTAAAAATTTAGTCTCCAAAATAATAACATAATCAAATAATAAAAAATCATTTTATAAACTTTCTTTAAAAAAATTAGACGTGTAAGAAATAAAATTAATTGTTTATTCATATACTTTTGTGTGTTTGAAAAAAAAAATAATAATAAATATTTTTTGACATATCAGATATTGCTTTTTCATAAACAATATTCAATAACATAATAATTTACATTAACCAGTTAAAAAAAAAAAACAACCTTTAAATAGAAAACAAACAGAAACCCAAATAATTTAATACAGAAAGAAAAATTGATTTTATTTTATACTTAATTTGTGATGAAATATTGAATTTTATTTCACTAATATTTTTCGGTAATTTAATCTAAAAAACACTTGTATTAGCTATCGCTATAATTATTTTATATTTGCTATTAAAAGTTCATTTTTTAATAAAAAAAAATATGATATTATAAAATTGATTTTCTTAGTCAAATATAAAATATATTTTAAATTAAAAATGCTCAGCTCTAAATAATGATACAAATTGAAATATTTTGCGGTTACTTTTATTCAAGAAACAGCGAAATAATAAATTAAAAAAATTCATTCAAATCTCTATTTGTTATTTTATGTAATATACAAGCTCAGATTAATGCAGGTGAAGTCTTAGGTACGTACAGTTGGCTCCCAAAATACTAGAGCCCCGCAAGGTTCATGACATTATTACTCATGCTCTTTTTATTACTTCGAGTACTTTAAAATAATTTAAATATGTAGATTAGGGCTCTAACTAATATTGTGCCCTTGCAGGTATATGATCGTAAGTAATATAAAGATACCGACGATACCGTTACGTATCTCAATCGTAATAAGAAACTAATAAAACTAAAACAGCCACTGTTTCTTACAATTAAAAAAAAAAAAAAACCCAATGAACACTATTGAAAAATTATTTAAAATTTAGTTTTCATGGTAAGTACTAAGTATTCTATTTATAGTTAGTAATATATAATAGGCGATAAGAATTGATTTATCCCGTATAAAATTTAAGTGGCAAGAGAATAATATGACTAAACAGTGTAATATTTTATCACAGAAATAGTGTTAGAATTTATGACCTATGTTTATTTTAATAAAAATACGGGGTTTTAAGTCCCCTTCTTAAAAAATGGTCTATTTATGTCAATGACTTATTAAAGTTACTTAATAGTCATAGAAACTTATAATTTATACAAAAACACACACATTATACTCTATTGAAATGTAGTAATTTTAAACTTTAAAAAAATTAAATTAAACGTCAATCAATAAAATTATTATTAAATAGTAAGACTACTGAATTTTCATTAATTATTTCAATTATACTTAGAAATACAAACACTGTATTGATATATTAATATTCGACATTGTCGCAGTTAATTTTCAAACGTTCAATTAATTAAATTTGGTCTTGAGACTCAATTCTGATTCATTGACACAAAAATATGATTTTAAAACGAGATATTTCACTTGTTATTCCTTATTGTTATTAAATGTACATAATATATTATAGACAGCAAACATACGATTTCGATACATCGTAAGGTTTCTCAGCATAATTAATTTATGTAGCTAATAAAATTATCAGAAATAAATTATTGTAAGATTTATTTGAATTTGTAAAATTAAAAATAATAATATTATTATTAATATAGCTAAGAATCTAATGTTTAAAATTTCATATTTTTACACAAGCAATTTTGTGAGTGATCATTAAAATTTAACACGATTTATTCATATATTATTAGTGATCTAAGTAAAATAATATACATTGATCGTTAAAAATATTTTATTCGATGAATTAAAAAATAATCTAAAACTCAATAAATGTCAATATTATTTTTCTTGTGGTTTTATTATGAAAATTATTTTTAGATAAATAAACCTAAGCACATAAATTTAAATGATAATTAATTTAGATTTTAATATCATATTATACTAAGAAATTAATATTATATTATTTTGATTTTGTATATTATAGAAAACTATAATACTTCAAAGTAAAATAATATTAGTTAAAATAGTTAAGGAATAAACGATTAAAATAAATATCTTATGCTATTTTGATAGCTAAATTGTTCTTCATAATAATTAAAATATTTACCTTTACCAAACATTAAAATAAAATTGTTTGGAATTTCTACGAAAGAATATTTCACATTTTATGAAAATATTTCTTTTGCGATGTTTATAAAATGAATTCGGAAAATTTATTATTGTCACAGTCAACAGGCATACTATTATTCACCTTAGTGAGCAAACATTTTTCGGAATTTGATTTTGTAAGTATATAACGTTTTTATAAACGTTTATGAGTAGATATACGAAAATATTTTCGTCTTTATCTATAATGTTTTTCTTTTGCCAAATTCAAAAATATTAAGAACTTATAATACACTAAACAAAGTTTTATTGTTTATGATAACCAAAATGTGGTATTTTCATTTCGTTTGTCCTCTGTTTACAGACACACTATTTGGTCGTTAAACAACAATTTAACACTTATTCTTAAATTAAATACAGTTAAATACATTTCTAAATATTGTTATGTTTATTTTTGACAAAGTTTAAAAAATGTATAAACAACGTATAATATTTATTACACTTAATATTACACGTGTGAACTGCATCACGTTACAACTGGGCGTATTACAATATTATTATGTCGATAAAAAATAAAAATAATATAATATATTTAATAATAATATTCTTTGGGTATATTATAATGTTATGTTAAATGCTAATAATATATTTCTGCTGTGTTGGAATTATTATTATAATCATAATGATATCGGGATTTTGGAATGAACAGTTATACTCTACTCGTTATAATAATATAATATAATAAATTTAGGACTAGGAAGTTTTAGCATTTAAAATTTTTTTTTTGCAATTCTTAACTCTTAGAACTTTTAAAATATGATTAGTGTTTAAAATTTCGTCCACTTAAAATTTATTGTAAGTGTTATTTGTATGTATCGTCTCATGAAAGAATGGAACTAAATACAAAATACATTTTTCTTATACGTACTTGTTCATTGAACACGTTTAAAATTACAATTGAAATCAATGGAAATGTATAAAACAGCTAGAGGTTATATGAATAGCTTTAGTTCTCAAGCAATGAGTACCTATATTATAATTTATCTTATACTTACAGAAAACCTTATGAACATTTTATAAAGCTAAAAGTAAACATAAAACTTAAAAGTATTTAAAAAAAAAAAAATAAGTAAAAATTTATATAGGTTTTTTTTTTTTAAATTTGTATTATGTCGTAATATTATGTCTTATTTCTCAATTTTTAGTGATATTTAAAATGCATATTTTGGTATTTCTAAGTGCATATTAGAGGATTAAAAAATAAATAATTTAGTGCTATAACTTCCAAGTCTTGATTATAATATTTATGAATAATTGATTATTATAATAAATTTTTTTTTTTTAGCTTGCAAAAACTATTCGTTGTCGGCGTTTAACTTCTCATCGTCGTCAAATGTATCGGTTAGTTCGAATTCTGTTGCTTCCGGTGTCGTGATCTTGATTCTGATCGCTGACATCTGTTCAACCAAATTCGAGACCCCAATCTCTCCGGATTCAGTTTTCGGCGACATTTGCTGTGTATTACGTGGCCCAAGTCCTTGGAATTCGCACAGGCGAACGTCAGAATATTTGTAAGTTCGCTTTATACGCGATGCGAGAGCACGAACATCAATCTGTTTGGGCAAACCATTTTCGGGCACAGTTGTATCTGATGTACTTGCCTTGTCTGTCACATCTACTTTAGCTGATTCATTCATCGGGTCACTACTCGATACACTCTCCAGATTAGATACATTTGTGGCTGCGTCGATTGCACCGGAAGCTACAGAATTTGTGGGGTCTAGTACCCCAGGCCGCGCGAGTTCAGGCAACATATACGACGTTTCAGACTGCATCAGCTGCATATTCATGAATGACTGCAACAAATCGCACCAGCCTCTCTCGTACGCTATCCACAGTCTCTCGTTCCGGCGCAATTCGTCTAGAGTTGAGTTTTTGATCTGCTTTGGCGTGCACAGCGGATTATCCGACCCAGAGAGTCCGGGCAACGATTTTCTCCACTCGCTGCCGTCGTCTCCCTGCTGGTCGGACATCTGCAGTGCATATAATATAAAATAACAAGTAATATTGCATTTATTCATAAATAATATTGTAAAATGTTTCCAGTGCCGATTAAATAATGATTTTTTAATGATTGTGGGGAAGGGGAGATACCATTAAGTAAATAATATACACTTATACACTGGTATTGAAAAAAATGTCAAGATAAACATATCACCCCTCTCCCCCCTTTTATTGTTGTACCAGCCTAATTTACGTCTTTAAAAATAATAGAGACTGATAAATTTGACCATTGAAAACCTTAACTACTTAATTAATTTTTGAGATTTTGAAAATGTTTTTATCTGTAATTTCAAATAGGTACACTTAAACTGTTGTAATAAAAAATATAATTTTTAATGTGATGATTTTTATTTATCTAATTTTAATTTTTGTTTGTTTTTATAGAGCTTCATGTCATAAATATCAAGCAAATAGCTTCTGTTACTTAGAATAATATGTATAAGTTATAAGTTATGAATTATTTAAAATTTTGTTGAGCACTATAAACGTATTTACATATACACATAATTGTGTTCAACTTCCCTCTTCCTATAAAAATTGTAAGTATAAGTAAAAAAAAAAACTATTAAGTAATTGGAGTATCATTCAAATAAATAAACATATCGTAAAAAAATAAGATATTTTTAAAAATGGTAGGTGCTTAGCACTATATTATACATTTTTAACCATAAACATAGACTGAAAAAAACTAATGCAGATTCATCAATAATGTACTCAACTTAATTCAACTTTATTTACCAAGAGGTAAGAATAATATACGTTCATGATAATAATTAATAGGTTTGAAAGTTGTAGACTAATATGGAGGTTATGATGGCTTGACAATTTTACTAATTAATATTAATCTATCAATCTATCAACATTTTATAATTTGTAAGCATTTTCTAAGAATAATAAATACTACATGTTTTTTATATTATTGTAAACTTGTTATCCTTAGTATATAAGTTTTAATAACTCAGAAATAACTTATTTGAATTTTGATTTAGATATATCCACATTAAAAAAAAATAATTTGCTTACTAATTCACAGGAAAAAGTTTGAATCTCATTTGAAAAAAAAAAAACTTTGCATTAATACAAGACATAATATAAATTATATAAAAATGTAAAATATGGTCCTCAAGTAGGTATACTTATAAATTCCAAATATCAGAATTTGAAATTCATTATTAAATAAAATAATGGATTGAAAATGTTTGGTGAATTATCATTTGCAGTGTACATAAACATTTTTTCTTCATATTTTTAATTTCATATACTGAAGCCATAATATAGTAAACTTTATTATTTTCAAGCCTTAGACAAGCAGTTCTACTAGTTTGCTTTCACTGAAATAATGTTTGACATAATTTTCATTATTATTTCTAAAATAATATTTTGCTTTAGTAGAATTCAAATTAAAATTAAATGCAGCTATATGAATGGCAAAAATATAAAAAGTTTTTTGACACAAATTATTATTAAAAATTAGATTTTTTTTTTATATAGGTAGACACGTAATATAATTATATTATTAGATAAATATTTATAATAAATTGAAAACCAGTATTATTAGTATAAACGAATCTCTATGTCAAAAAAATCACTTTGTATTATTATTATATTAGTATATTAATATTATATATAACCTAGTGATATTGATTTATAATTTAAATATTCAAAATACTGCAGCTGCAATGATTTCGAGCCATCGCATATGGTTTTAATTTGTGTATATGTCTGCACATGTCAACATTTCAAAGTTGAAATACTTAAGCCTTGCTGATATTGAGGATAGTATAAATTAAAAAATTAAATTGTCAAACATAGAAAATAAATTTTACTCCTTTGATTTCATTTATCTCTCTATATATATATATATAAATGTTAAAATAGAAATATTTGTTACACATTTTTTCTTAAATTACTCATCTGATTTTTATTTTATTTTAAATGAAAGAGTACATTGCAGAGCAAATTCTAAGCTTATTTCTGATTTAATTGAGTTATTGATTATTTTAAATAATCAGCGTATACGGATATAAGACATTTTTTTTTTTTATCTGTGTTACCAATTATTAGTTATTATTAGTAATTAATATTTTAGTAAATACTTGATGTAGTTTAACTATAAAAAAAAATTTTCATTATTTTTAGCTTACAATATTGCAACTTTTAGTCCAGAATGAAAGGAAATTAAATTTAAATCGTTCAACATAAAAAAAAAGAAAAAAAAAAAGAAAAATGAAAAATAATTTCAAAAAAATGCTGCTGTTAAATGGTCAAAAAAAAAGTAACGCCGGGTGCGACAGTTATCTAATATTGATATGTTAGGAATATCGTCAATATATCAATTCAAAAAAATAAATGTAAATATATTTACTTATCCACACGCGTTACGCTAAAATGTTATGTTAACATTTTGGCAACCAAATTTTACACAGACACATTTTATACGGGTAACGAAGTGCACGGGGATAGCTAGTATATTATAATATGCTTGTCCTGGCACAACGAACAACCCAATCTCTATCTGCACAAGAAAATTTAAATTATTAAATATATATATATATATATATTAAATAGTATAATTAAGTTTAAATTTAATATTATTTATATTAAAATTAGTTTATTAAATGCTAAATATAAACATATTTAATTTAAAGATAACAATATCATTAAAAGGTACAAGTTACCATTACGTGATTAAAAATAAAAAAAATAAAAATATTTTAGCATTAAATACTTAAAACAGTAAGTTTTCAAAACTTAAACTCATATTAAAAAATAATTTCATTGCAAATGATTGGTTTTTTTTGTTAGCCTATGCTAAAATATCGACAAATAAATATAATTGCTTATACTAAAATCGATCATTATAATCTATATGTGGTACCCGAATACTATTATTATACAATATTTGTTGTAATATAATAATGCCACTGGATTTTCACAATTTCATTTATCTATCATTTATTAATATTGTGTGTAAATACAGAATGTACCTAGTGTGATAAACACGTACAACACATTTCTATAATCCATGATTATGCGGTTATTTGCAGTAACTGCTACCTATAATAACAGGCGTAACATGTTATCAGTGTTCCGCCACAAGTCTATCTTTCCCATTGGCTTTTTTCATCAAATTAAATATCTATGGATTTCACATTTCCATCAAAATAATTTTAAAACTATAGAAAGCTGTTATGTTCAATAATTAAGAATAATAACATTTAAAAAAATAAAAAAATATATATAAGTTAAAGATATATAATTATTATACATATATATATATATATATTTTTTTTTTGATCAAATTATAGGTCCATTTTTAAAATATATTCGTTCATAAATGTTTAATTTGACTTACAGTACAAAAATAATTTTAATTTTATTTAATGTATTTATTAATGTGTGTTATATTAGTACTGCTATTTCAATATTTTATTATATTTTAAATAAACATATACAGTAAAAAATAACAGATTTTCAAAATATAGAAATTGATTTGGTGGAAATGTAGAATCGGTCAATATCTCATTTATAGTAGGAACGAGGAATTGGTGGAAAAGGGGAAAGTACACTTTTGGTGAAAATAGGTTAAGTTTGTTTTATAAATGCATACAGATAGAATGTCTTATTTCATACAATATTTTTGTGGTCTAAATAAAACAATAGTATAAACTCGATTAATAAAGTTTTTTTTAGTTGAATTATTTTTTATATTTAAAAAAAAAAAAAATTAAAAGCACAGGTTCCATAAAATATCTATTAAAATATAAATAATCAGTGCTTGTATAAGCCCATGTATTTACTAGTGTAAGTCGTAATTATATTAATAATGTGGAACGTAAAAACTATTAAAGAAACTTACAATATGTAAAATAAATAACCATTTTATGATTTTTAAAACTATAAATATCAAATTGCTTTGAAAAGGAGAAACATATTTGCCCGATTCAAATTTAATCACACAATTAACCAAACCATATTTATATATTTTTCTAATGTATTAATGAACAATTTAAAGTGTGGTTTTAAAATTGCAGACAAAAAAATAATTAAAACAACTGCTGTTTAATAACGTATAGTATATGTAGTTAACATGCAGCGTATATTTGTTAATTTATTTTCGGTTAAAAAAAAAAAAAATAAATTACTTTAGCAATAATAATTTAATATTAATTTTTAATAGGTATTTAATTTACTAAACAATGATCACTATGGAGTGCTTATAAGTACTATAGACTTTTTATTTGATACTCGACTGATCAATTAAATTGTTTAGTATGTAATACTTACATTTCGTTTTAGTTAGTTTTCTTCTTGAAATTTAACTTTTTCGTTGTAAAAGCCGAAATCTTTGTTGTGTTTCCGAAGTTTAGACGCTAGTCACAGACTAGAAACAAACAAACAAAACAATTTTGGATTAATGTATGGAGAATAAAATTAATTTAACGTGTATTAAAATAATAGAAAAAAAACCGAACAAATCGAATTAAAATCTAAATCGAATTTGTATAAATAAGAAATATATATAAATATATAATATGCATATATAAATTATTTATATAATATTGTTTATAGATAAATATACGAAATAAATTATTATACTTGTTATTATAATATGATTTTAGACGTGTGCACGTTACCTAATTTTCGATGGAAGGAAGACGGTAACACACTGAATGGTAGTTGTCACACAACTGACTGGCGGTACACAGACGATAGCCGGACAAGGCTCAGTTTTTGGTCAATTCTATGTTCTGGGTGGCTCGGTGGATTACTTTACTATATATTGTGCGACCGTTATAGTTCATAGTGGTTCATCCATGGTGGGGAACGAGGTGGTTAAATACGACAATCGTATAATATTATATTACACAATTTATTATGATCGTATTTGTATAATCTAATGATAGGTTTTTCTGAACAAATTTTTATTTTTATTGACTAAAATACATATTATAATACACATATAAAATAAACGATATTACAGACTAATATTCTTGGTTGATATACGCATTTAAGTACGTACCCACTATGCAGTGAATAAAAATATTAATACATATTTTTATTATAGATTTTGAGCAGAGCGAACTAGTGAAGTATATTGTATTGATTATGTGGATTTGTATTAACTATATTTTATATTTTTATGCGTATCACTCAGAATCCCGAAAAAATTCAATTTTATTCCTTTTTTACACGAACGTAGATAGGTAATAAAGGATAATTGTTATTGAGATTGTAGTGTTGTTCTTTTTAAGTATGGCAAATTGTATTAGACAATCATCAAAAGCTGTAGTTCTGTTCAATTCTAGGTAAATGTTTAATATAAACACACACACACACACACACACACATATATATATATATTATATAATTACTATAGTTTTCCTGTTCTTTGATTAAAAATAATTTATTGAAATATATTATTTACAACAAAAACATTTATTACAACGATTGCTTGTTGTTGAAAATGTCGTACAATTATTTGTATGTGCAGTTTAAGAAAACGTTCGTTTTTGAGCTATCGAGACTTACATGTAGACTGTAGCTGCTTAATGCATATAAGCATATTCATTAAAATTTAAATATTTTGAGAATTATACATACAGATTATTTTCCGTCTGTGAAGTAATCTCAATGTAATTTTAACAACATAAAATATTTACCAATCGTTAAAAATACTTAACGTTGGACTAATATAACATAATAATAGTTCGATGATAGTGTATACTTTAAGTTTATTTTTTGAAATGTTTAGTATATAAAAAAAAAGCTAAATTTTTTATTTTATTTGTGAAAAATTTATTTATACTTTGCATATTTCTATAGATTATTTTGTAAAAATCTCATGTTTTAGAAATATATTAAATAAAAAATTTAAATGTTGATCAAATTTTTAATTTAAACGGACTATTATTTTGAGCCTTGTGTAATAGTAGTATTATAGTCAATATGATTTATGGTATCGGTAAACTATCTAGTCATGAGGTATATACAAGTATAATATACAAGCGTATACCCCATTATTGCCTATATATAACCTACATATTGTGTACCTATACTTTACTTATCTATACTAATATAATATATTCTGTATACAACACAATTTTATTTCCGGTAATAAACAATGAAACATAATTTTTTATTTTTATTTGTGACTTATTTGTTTATTAAAGGAGTTACCAATACATTTACCTAATCGATGTAAAATAAATTCAAAGTGTTTAATTATTTGACAACAATTCAATAAAAAATTAACTACTAAAATAACAGAAACTATGTTACATTTAAAAAAATTGCCATGAATTTCAAAAAAAAGTTAGGCATTAATTTAAAGAGTTGAAAATAATTTAAACGGAAAAGAACAATGCGTATAATTTGCTAAACTTAAACTATTTTAAGTACAATCAAAAAAATCTAGGGTTTTTTCAATAATGAAAAAAAATCTAATTATAAAAATGGATAAATAAGTATCAACTAATAACGATAGTGAAGATATTGCAATTTTCAGAGATAAATCTGAAGACATTTCCAGTTTAAAATATGCACAAATTATGCGTTATTATATGGAATAAAGCTTTTTGAAATACAAAAGCGATATCACTCGACAACCATAGAAATTTTATATTTGAAAATTTAAGTATATATTTTGTGTTGACTCATTATAGAATTAAAATTAAGTCTTGTGTTATTTATACCTTTGAGGATTTACATACGTTTATGTAAATAGTTTAATGTTGTATTATTTTCTGACTATTTTTATGTATAATTTCAGGATATTCAAAGTCAAAACAAATAAAATAACAACTTTAGTTTTACACAATATGTATGAAAAAATTTTCAAACTAAAATTATTCATGGAATATAAGTGCATTATCTCTCAAAAAAACTAATGCATCATATAGTACAAAGTCTAACGAGAATGTGTACAAAATATCAGTACGTTTGGTTTCTTCAGTCTTGAGTTATGTACGTACTTTGTACAAGGTTCAAAGTCACAACATGGAACAAAAAAAAGCACAATACATTTTTGTGTTTGACTTCAAAAATCGTTTACAGGAATGTATTCTATGGTATAGGAAGATTTCGGCAATGGTGCTACATCTCATACAACAACGTATACATGGTGGAAGCGATTTAAAAACGGTCGAGAGTTAAAATAATATTGATCGCATTTTTCGATTCAAAGTGCTTGATTATTCACCGTGAATTTGTTTCAATTGGACAAACGGTGAATACTGAATTTTGTTTGGATGTGTTGAAGTGCTTGATGCTTCGTGTTCGTCGAATCCGAACCGAATACCGCAAACCGAGCAATTGATCTGTGTAGCATGACAATGCTTCAACTCACACAACAACACTTTTATCGCATTTTTACGCTGAAAATCAGATCATTGTTCTATTTCATCCATTCTACTCAACCGATTTAGATCTTGCAGATCATTACTATCAAATTTGGACAAAATTACGTATTTAAACGATGAATATGGATATTCATTTTTTCACTACAATATTTAAAAACAATATTCGTGAGTAAGTACCTACTTGAAGCAGCTAATAGACAATAGAATTTTAAAATTAATATAAAACTTACATTTTTTGATTTTGTAATAATTTGTATTAATATAAGTAAGTATTTATTTTTTATTAGATATTATTATTAAAGTCCAATTGTTTAAACGCCTAAGCATCTACGCCTATTTGTTTAGATAATTAGATCACAAATGCGCATAATATATTAATATGCATAATTTGTTATATTTAAGAAAATAGTATTATGTTGGAAAAACATATCATTTCATTTGAGAAATAATGTACAATTACCTTTTTGATTATTAATGCTTTAATATTATTTTTGTTATGACTTTCGCTGTACTTTACTTATCTATTCACTTCCATGGCATGTAAATGTATTTCAATAAAAGTTATTTGAATTCAAACATTATTGAATGAAATTAATATTGTATATATTATACATGAAAGTAATTTCTTGTAGTTAATTTAAAACAATAATATTACCTTTAGTTAGTTCGTATAGTTCCGAGCATATAATTATTTATCATTTAACGACTATATTCGTATCATATTTCCACTATTCGAGTTTTTATTTTACTCACACACATATAGAAATAGTATATCATTATTACGCTTCTATTATAATTGAGTCTCTCTTCAGCAGTCGTCTACAAGGACATTATAGATATATTATGTGTAACACTATACAATTCCATAAAATTAATAACGCATTAACGCGTGTATCGCATAAAATCTGGACATCTAAAAGTCACTATTATAACATGTACGTTGTAGCACACATATTTGAATACAACTGATTACATAGTGCGGAACTCCAGTTACCGATTCATAAAAATATAAATAAATATACTTTAAATTTATTATTTTTTAATTTTGAAAACATTATTTTAATTATATTTTATTCAAATAAAAAAATAACTTTTTCTAACTGTTCAATAATGTTTGATACAAAATAATTAATTATGGAAGTTAAAAACTACCTGTTTATTTCAAAATTCAAACACGAGTTCCAATGAATAAAGCAATAAAGATTTGAAAAAACAACTCGTTTGCATAAACTGACCAAAAGTATGTACCCACGCAGAGAAATGACTCAATTTTTCTGAAACTGGAAAAGAAACTAGGAGTAATTATTATACACAATATACAGTAGAAGCCACTTATTAAAAATACGGATAATTGATACAATCGCGTTATTCAAACAAAATGTCTCGGGACGGATCGGACGTATACTAGAACATTGAAAATAAATCGGATTATTGAAACATCACATCGGTTATTTGAAACAATTAGGGGAAGGTTAGTTGACATATACACCGATTATCCGGCGATAACCAATGTACTTTAATCTTATCTTTGCTGTCGTTACGTTTATTTTTACTGTACTTTATCGTAAGAACACCCTTTCTATACGTACCGGTCATATTGTTTGTAGCTTAGCTTCATCGTGCGTACGTAAAGATTATTAGTGTTTCGTTTTTTCTAAAAATCTAGAAACGTCTGAACGCTAAGATTTTAGCCAGTTTTCGTGGGCCAATCGTGGTTTGAAACTCATTAGACCGATTTGCTAGCCCAATACTCACCCTCTGATATTTTCAATGCGGACGAGACTGGGCTTTATTTTAGAGCTTTACCTGAACACATATACGTACTCAAAATAAGCGACAAAGCCAAAGGGGCAATATTATTTGCAAAAAAACAAATTACGATTGATAAATATTTTAAATAATATCGTAAAATATATACATTTGTACATACTTTTTTAAATTATACAATATAGGTACATATATACATATTTTTTTCGCGTACCTATTATTCATTTTTTTTTTTTCAATCGTTTATTAGAAACAATCGGTTAATTGACACATTTCACCTTGGTCCCAAAATGTTTCTAATAAGCGGCTTTTACCGTACATATATTTTTAACTTAAAAAACACATAATCCTAACGAACCTCTTAAATCTAAATCAAATTTTCAATTAAAAAAAATCAATGATACAAATAAAATATTACATTTAATTAAACGTTAAGTTTATATACATTTTTAATTTTTAATTAAAATTAGGACTAATGATAAATATCCACAAATTTCTTCGCTTTTATGAATTTAATGAATACATATTATAGGTTTAGTATTAATTATTAATCGTTAAAAATAAATTTTTTATAGTATGCATATTCATTAGAAGATATTCCT